TGTGCTTGTATACACAGCATGTAGAAAATTTGAGCTGCTTCAAACAAAAATTTTCGAATTATGAGCATTTTAAAAACAAGACAATTTTGAGAAAAAAGCAAAAGCTATAACCCATGGTTTTTCCAAAAAATGGCTATGAAATCACCCCATTTTAAAATAGATTTTCTGAGACATACTGTATAGTGCTTTATTTTGGCGATTTTGCTGTAAAATTGTAATTGGCAATTTTTTGTGTACATGTGCATTACTGAGCATGGGCATTAATGATTGGCGGTTTTAATATTGGTGATTCCGTTTGCAGACTGCCAATCGCCAAAATAAAACTCTACCAAATTAAAGCGCTATACGATATACATGTTCATACGTTGTGTATAGCAAGTTTGAGCTGATTCCAACCAAAATTCACTTTTTTATGAATTTTTAAAGTTACTCAAAAATCGGGCCAAAGTCCCTGTAATAGTATTACATGGTCTTTGGCCAAATTTCACAAAAAATGACTATAAAGGATTCTCCATTTTTATAATTTTTTCTGATACATATACATGTTCTTATGTCGTGTAGAAAGTTTGAGATAATTCCGACAAAAATTCAATTTTTATGAATTTTTAAAGTTACTCAATAATTGGGCCAAAGTCCCTGTACTACAGTACAGGGTCTTTGGCCAAATTTCATGAAAATGACTAGGAGAGGATTCTCCATTTTTATAATTTTTCTGATACATATACATGTTCCTATGTTGTGTAGCAACTTTGAGATGATTCCAATCAAAAGTGGATTTTTCATGAATTTTTAAACTGCTCAAAAATCGGGTGTACTATAGTACAGGACCTTTGGTCAAATTTTGCCTAAAATAACTATGAGAGAATTCTAAAAATTTTGAGCTGCTTTTGACAAATAATTTTTGGTTTGTGAACATTTTAAAATTGAGCCAATTTAAAAAAAAGCGAAGGCTATATATAGCCCATTTTTTTCTTCAAAAATTGGCTCCACAACCATCGTCAATTTTTATTACATTTTCTAATACATATCAATGTCCTTATGCTATGCATGAATAAACATTATCCTGACTATAAAATTGAGTTTCTGACAATAACTCAAATATTAAATTTTGTTAGTTCATGAAATGCATTTCTATAATAAAAATAAAGCATTTAACTTGCCTTGTTTCAGCAGCTCTAGCCAGTAAGACACTCATGAGTCTCAAAGCTTCTGTTCTTCTCTGAATAGCTACTTCTCTCAGTTGAACTGCCAGTGCCTCTTGCACTCTCTTCTTTTCTTTCTTCTCTTCTTGTTTCTTCAGTCTCCTTTGCTCCTCTTCTTTCTCCTGTTCCAATAATATACAAATGATAACTATCATATTACAAAATCAATTTCAGAACTACAAAGATGCTTCTAACAAAAATTATAATTAAATTTTAGGAGTGCCAAAAAGTGAATTTTCTGCCTTTCCCAAATGAAAGTCTGTCCCATTCTGAGGGTTTACATGAATTAAAACGTACAATAGAAGTTTACATGTACATGTATATTGAATCATTGAGTATAAGAAAACCCTCAATAAGAAGCCTATGCACAAATTTAAATAAGGAAATACTTCCATTAATGATTCCCATGATTACTTTAGCTTTAAGTTCCTCTTCTCTCTTCTTTTCCTCTACCCTCCTCTCTTCTTCCTTGCGTCTCTCCTCCTCCT